ATATGCATAAAATCTCAGGAAGTCCTTAGAACAGCTTAGAATGAGGTAGATTCGCTTATTACCCCTATTTGAGAAATGAGGAGATTGAGGCCTCACTAAACCACAAAATTTCCTCAAGACTACACATTTAGCCAAAGAAAGAGCCAGGGTTTGACTTCAGCCAGCTTGATACTACATTCTGTACTTCTCATAACTGTAGTATGCTGCCTTCCCAATACAGTATGTATAAGTCTCCCAGATGCTTAGTACAGGGGTTTGTGCACTGTAGATATCAGCAAAACTATTTTCCCACAATTTTACTTCATGATCACAAATTCACCTATATTCCAATTAGTTTTACCCACAGTCCTCAGTTTGCCCTAAGAGAAAAAGTTGAAGTTGAAACATGGGAATTTTAAATGATGATGACTACTCTGTGTGCTTTACAAAGACATCCAAGGAACTTAGTATGTAACATTCAGTGTAAATATTTAGCTAGTTACCGCCTGCAGCAGGAGGTCCTTGAACAAGTTCATTTTAGGCTGGAGAAGGACATTCCCAACACAAAAGCTTTGTGTCAGCAAAGCTCCTTTGTCTTTTCTATTTCACTCTGTACTTACTATCATACGTGGGATGAGAGAAAGTATTTTCCCCAATAGTACAACTTATTTACATGGCCTGCCTTTCTACCAGTTTCATCTGCATGTATTACTCATTTGTCCATCCATCCACCCCCCCATCCATCCATCTAGCCATGCACCCATCCATCCATCCATACCCCCCTATCCATCAATCCATCCATCCACTTATCCATCCATCCAACATCCATCCATCCCCCAACCCATCCAGTATTACATGCTATGTATCACCAGTCCTTTAGTATTGATATTAAAAAGGAGCTGGAAAGACAACTGTTGATTCTTTCTATTTTCTTAGTACCTACTGTATGGTAATCACATGCATACAATCAAAAGAATTGCTTGAGAATGGATAAAATCCATTCCAAAAGGAAACATTTTAATGCATACTCTGGGGCTATGGGAACTTTCTTTTACTAGAAAATTCTATTGTTTTTTAAAAGTTCTTCCTGAATAAAGTTTGTGACTGGGTATATCTATGGTTTACCTAAACCTTCCACAGCACATAAACTCTGACTTCTTCTGCTGTGGTCCACTGGACAGCCATCTGTATTTATGGACTTTTCTTTTTTTTTTTGTTTTTTTTGGTTTTTCTCCGGTACCGGGAACCGAACTCACGACCTTGCACTTGCCAGGCAGGCGCTTTTGCCGCTGAGCTAAGTCCCCAGCCCCTGGACTTTTCTAATAGGCAGTGCATTGGCTTGTGCCTGAGGCCAGCCCAAAGTGTGCTGTCTTAGCAAGAGAACTCAGCATTTCCTGAATAGGGGGACCGATCAGGTGGCTCAGGCACTAACCTGGCTTTCATCTGGTCCCTTAAACCAGGGTCTACTTCGCCACTGTAGCAGTTGTGGCTTAGCCCCCATCTGTAGCTTTGACGTGCTTCTGATCGGATCTTTTCTTCATGGATTGCACCTTGGCCATCTTTGTTATATTGAAGGGATCCCCAGTTTCAGTGAGCCATGCAGGGAAGGGATCCTGGTGCAGAAAGCATGGCAAGGACACAAGGACCAGGCAGGAAGGACATTTCCTTCTTTCTATCCTGACTTATTTAAAGTAAGCTACTTGGATGTGAAATTTCCCTTATGAGTTTTAATCGTTTTTCTATCCACCAAAGTCATCATTTGCTTTGATGGTGAGCTTCTGTCTTGTAGTGTCTCTTAGCAGATAAGATTCCCAATTTGATGTCGAGACTTTTTGCTTTTTCTCGGTGAAGACATTGCTTCTGCTGGTGAAGTCAAGGGAAGTGAAGGAGATCTCTACGATCTGCCTCCGTGAGGCTACATAGCCACTGTCTGTCCTTAGGGTTTTGTGGCATTCCTTCTGGTGGGAACAGATTAAGTGAGTGGCAGGGTTCATGAGTCCATTTCCACCTCCTCTTTTCCTTTTGAAATTCTTTCTTAGTCGACTCTCTTTTGTTATGTGTTGTTTGTCTGCTGGTCCAAAGGAAAGAACCCAAGCTGGTCCTTACCCACTTGTGGACCTCAGGGTCTGGTCTTGTAAGTGAAGGGATGGAGTCAAGTAACTTCTGAGGCCTCTTCCAGTTCTACTGTAACACAGTCCTGGTGTGAATCACCAAGAGAAACTCACAGGATTTCAGCTTTAAATGTCTAGATTTGTATGTGTGCTGTGTGCAGGGGATTGGTGAGAGACGAGGGGAGAGACAGAGCTCTCTAGCATAGGCAATCACAGTGCAGTAGTTGGATGTCTGAGGTCTTCATTGTGAGATGAGTTGTGTCCTCCTTCTTCACCCAAATTCATACACTGAAGTGTCATGCCCCAGGATGTCAAAATACCACTGCATCTGGATATAGGGTCTTTATAGAAATGACTCAGTTAAAATGAGGTCCCTAGGGTAGACCCGACTCCAGTCTGGCTGGTGTCCTAGACAAAGAAGATATTTACAAAGACACAAGGGAAGACAGTGTAGGCCCGAAGGACGCCATCTGTTAAGTCAAGGAGAGGAGCATCCCGGAGACAGATCCTTCTCAGTGGTCTTTGGGAGAACTGCCACCCAAGTGTGGACTCACAGTCTGTGTGAGGAAAGAAAAGACCTGTAGTGTAAGCCACTCAGCCCGTGGTCCTTTGTTATGGTCACCTTCACAGACTAATACAACTTTTGTATCTGACTCCAAAGTGAAAAAACAAAGTTCAGTAACCACCCAAAGGTCACCTCACAGGCTTTTAGGTAAATACCGGATGCTCTTTGGCCTAAACCCTGGACTTGACTAAAAAATGCAGACTCCAATGGCATTGCAGGAAGAAAATCTGGGAACCTCTATGACACAATTCAGTCTTGCTGATAATTTGGGGCTAATATTTAACTCTGAACATATATTGACATGGGCAATTTTTCTACAGGATGGCTGCACAAAATTCAAAAATGCATGTCAGAGCCTTGGTTTTGATTTGAGTTCTTTTATTTTATTTTTGGCAAGGGAGAGGGTGAGTCTTGCTTGCCTCTTTTGTAATTATTTTTTCCCTTTTTCCATTCCTGCCCCTGTCTTTGTACTCTCTCGGGCACTACCTCCCCACTTTCTCCATTTTTCTTGGGCACCTTCTGTAGCCGGTTACTTCTGTGTCCACCGGGTGTATTATCTAGCTCCGCCGGGGCTGCTTCATCTGCCCTGGAGCATTTTCCGCTTGTCAGCATCGCTGTGTGTTCCTTTCTCATCCCTTCTCTGCCCAGTCCTCTCCTCCAGTTTTCTTCGTTTGCCTCAGGGGACAGTTTCTAGCTCCAGTCTCTCCTCTCTGCTCTTCTTCTCTCTGATCTGCTTCCCTGCTGGGGGCGCCTGTGGCCCCCCTCTCCTTCTTCTCTGAGACTCTGTTTCCTTGTTGGTGGGTCGGGGCTCATACGACAAACATCACAGAAACAATTGCATTGAGAACGTTGGTGTCCCCAAACACAGCCTTCGGGTCATCCCAGAATGCAGGGCTCCGGAGGAAGCAGGAAGTAGCCCCAGCACTGGAGAAGCACCTACGCCTCAGCCACAAGATCGCATCCCAGAATCTGGGGACTCATCTTTACACCCACTTCCTTTCCAGTTAGAACTCGGAACGCGCTGGGCCCCCGGGAGAGGGCACCTTCTAGCACCTCTTGCCTCATTCACCTGTGAGCTGCTTTTGGGGCCCTTGCTCCCTGCCTACAGCAGTGTCGGCTTCTGTGCTCTCTGCACACCAGGACCTTGTGTCCCTGGGGCGGTCCCCGGGTGGGGTGACCTCTTTACTGAGCCACCATGGTCTTCGGCTGTGGTTTAGGACAAGGACGCAGCAAAGATGTCACTGTGATCTTCTCGGGCTTTCTGGACAATAGCAATTTCAGTTTAAATGACGAAAAGCTACATGCTGACTTTTTAAAATTTTCACCAGTGTCCTTGGAGACCCCAAAGAGATCTCTTTCTTTGCTTTCTCATTTTCCTCACTTCCGCTTTTCCTTCCTCCCTCCTCTCTGGTTCTCATCAATTCTAAAATTTTACTAAGACACCATGCTCATCTGTTCATTCGCCAATTCAGTGAAAGTCTCAGCAATCACAAAAGTGCCTCGAGGGCTCCATGCCCTTCTGCCCGCATGGAGGGCACCTGTAGCCCTTGCTTACCACCTAATTCTTATGGAAAATGTATCTACAGACCTCGATCTTTAGCAGTTTCTAGGAATTATTATAACCAAATAGAAATGTCTATTTTTAATGCTTTTTCTGTAATGAATTTCAAAGAGTTGCGATGAAAGTGTTTTCCTCTTTGCTCCGCTGCACAATCTAGGGCTGAGAGTGCTAGTATTCATTCTAATTATGACGGATGTCAGCAGCGGTCCCACAGCTAGTTTGTGCGGGCACGAGGAAAGCATCTTGAAGTACGTGCATTCATTTACTTAGCTTGGAGAACAATCTGCTGTGGTAGATATTACTATTATGCCAATTTTACTGATGCAGTGACGGCTTGGATAAGTTATGTTATTTGCCAAGAGGCTTCAGCAGGGACTGCAGTTGAGTCTGAAACCAAAGCCCCTATTAGTTAATGTTTGTGAGGCGTCCTGCAGCGACCAGATCAGCCAGGGCAATGGAGGGAGTCTTTGCATACTCAGTGGCTGAAAGGATGGATGGGTGGGTGGGGGTGGGTGGGTGGGTGGGTGGATATGCAGATGGATGCATGGATGGATGCATGGATGGATGCGTGGGCTGGTAGGTGGGTGGATGGATGGGTGGGTGGGTGAATGGATGGGTGGATGGATGGATGTGTGGGTGAATGGATGGATGGATGGATGGATCCTGTCCTATTGGTGGGAAGGGAGATCTTTAGACCTGTCTGCCAGGAGAGTGTGGAGCAGCATTTGCACTCGGCCATCCACACACAAAGGATAGCCTGCCGGCTGGAACCCACTGGGCTTACCTTCTGCGTCTTGGGCATGTCAGTGTGGCGCTGGGCGCGGACGGAGCGGGCCGACTTGGAGGGCTTGAGGGGCGCGCAGTACATCTCCAGCCTCCGCAGGTCGCAGCTCCGGAAGCAGCACTCGTCCACGATGCCCGTCTGCGGCGCCCTCCGACTGCTGGAGCCGTACCCTGTGGGCTTGTCTGCAAATCAAACGCAGAATGGCCTGGCGTTAGGGTGCATCGTGGGGTCCTCACCATCTGTCATCCTGCCGCGATGCCCCGCCACTCACCCACGGTCCGCACACCCACTCCGTACACATCCGCGGGCAGCCTGCTCTCTGTCCCCCCCAGGTTCTCAGCAACCAGCAGTCGGGCACTGTTAATGCCCAGTCTTAGCCTTTTAAAGAATATCCTGGCTTCGTTGGGGGCCAGCAAGAGTACTCATTGAAAGGAAAGAATCCATTCAATTTCCTTCATCTTATTTATTTATTTAAAAATGGAAGGATAATAATTATGCCTATTTACAGGGCTCACTGTGCTGTCTTGGCAGATGTGTATGTTAGTGGTTGTCTCACTATATTTAGGTCGTTCATCATCTCACACCTTTGGAAAGAGCACTATTTTCTGTGAATGGTGCTGGGAGAACTTGGGGTCCTTAATCTTTTTTGCAAACATGCATAGTTGTTATATGCAGGACAGCTCAGTTTGCTTTCTTCCTTGCTTCCTCTGTAAAATCAGACTGAAGAGGAAAGAGGTTTAAAGTCTGAAAGGGCTCCACATTTTACCAGTGGGAAAACAGGCTGACAGAGGGGAACGACTTGCTTGAGGTATTTCATACAGTTAGTGGTGAGGTCAGATTTGAACTCAAATCTACTTCCTGTGAAGCCTGAGAGACCTGTTGTATGACTGTACACAAGTTTCTTAAGTTCCCTGGGGCTCAGTTTACCCATTTGTATAGTGGGGTTAATAATACTTTGCTCATCAGAATTGAAGATAAAGTGAAATAATGTCTGAAGAGTGCCTAGCACAATACTCAGCACATAGTAGGTCCCTAATAAATATTGATTTGCTTCCTCTGAGAACTCTTTCTGGGGTCTCACAGGGTCTGTGAAGAAACTGTGTTAGTACTGCCCGCATGCAAAAGATTTGGAACTTAGGGCAGATAGCAGCACCATCAGAATAGGACCCCCCCATCACCCTAGAGAGACCAGAATAAACATTTCTATATTCTTGTAGAATAAGAAATAAACTAAATGTCCACCCTTCATGTGATTCTGATTGCCCAGCGAGAACAACACCATGATCAAATTCCTTTTGATATTTGCACATCCACTGAACCTCTGTACTTGGCAAGTAGCTTTGGTTTAGTTTTATTCTGTTTTGGTTAGGGCACAGTTTTCCTGCTTTTAGAATTAAAAGCAACCAAGGAATAAGCTTACATGGAATTTACTTTGTACCTGAATTATTTGTAAGCTGGTTGTCACAGTGGATCTTTTTGTTAAGTCAAATACTGCCAGTATACCAGTTTATCTAACAGACCAACAGTGAGGCTGCTCTGACTCAAGAGATGATAAGGAGATGGGACCCTGGTCTTTCCTCATCTCCCACACCTCTTTCAGGAATTGAGATTCCCAGGTTTTCTCCACTGATTTCCAGGATCCATGGAAGAAAACTTCCGAACCACTGACCCCAAGAATCTAATCACTATGGAGATCAGTATGGCGATTCCTCAGAAAACTACAAATTCCATTTGACCCAGCTATTCCCCTTCTAGGTGTCTTCCTGAAAGAGTTAAAGAAATCGTATTACAGTGATCCATGAATATCCACATAGAGCAGCACAATTCATAATAAGTAGCTAAATCTTATAACCAGCCTCTAGATCCACCGGCAGATGAGTGGATATAAGATAATGTGGTATTTACACACACTGGAGCCCTACTCTGCCATAAAGGTAAACCTGGGTCATGTGTAGGAAAGTGGATGCACCTTGAGACCATGACGTTAGGTGAAATAAACAAGACACCTGGCTTTAAAAATCACATGGTTTCTCTTACATGAGAAAATCAAATATGAGCAAAGAGCAAAACAAAATATAGATAATAGGAAGTAGAGAGATCTTTCTCGAGTGGGAAGGGGATCAAGGGGTGGGTGAAGGGAGGGGGAGAGAAGGGAATGGGATAGGAAGAATTAAGATGTGATGTGTACAGGCAACAGCTCCACACAGGGCATGTAATCATTGTGTACCGCAAGCAGGGACCAGTGCAAAACTCCAATAAGCGATCTAGCATATACTCCATCTTAATTCTTGACCCAAGAAAGTATTACATTAAAAAAAAAAAAACCTCTTAGGTTTGCATAACAATGATCCCATGCTTAAGGATGGGGATTTGAAAGTCAAAACCCTTGCACTTCCTTACTGGGGGAGATCAGGCCGGATGGACACGGCCTGCTACCTCGCTGCTGGAAGGGCCAACTGCCCATGGCATCCACTGAGATTGCAAATGCTTTCCTGATGCTTGGTACAGGAGCCTGGTGGCTGCTTCCCCCGTAATGCAGGTTTATTGTCATCCTGGGGGCAGCTAGTGGTAGTATCTTGGTGAGGGTTCATTTGTGGTCTCTGGGCAGGATCTGCTGTGCTCTTTCGCAGCAGGCTCTGGGGCTCCTCCTGGTCATGGGGCTTGGGAGGGACCCGGCAGCTGGCCCCAGCTGAGCCTCAGCAGCGCTCTCTCCCGCTAGGGGAGGAAGGACTGGTGAAGAAGTGGACTCCTTGGCCAGGCCCTGGCAAGCCGAGATTCCAGGTCCCCTGAGCAATGTAAACAGTGGGTTTTTTTTGTTTTGTTTTTATAATCTTTTCCTGGGACTATAAATTAGAGGAGAGACACAAATGGGCTTGCATAGTTCTTTGTAACCCATGAAGGACTTCCGCATACGTTTTACTAAGTGGCTAGCTGGTCAAGAGCAGTGATCCACTTGACTTTTTCTCTTGGGATAGGGAGAAAGGAGTAGGTGACTCCGTGATTTTTGTGGCAACTGTCCCTGTGTCCCCTACGGGCTCCTCTTTGCTGAGACTGGGCTTCTTAATGGGCTGTAATTGGGATTTGTTTTGTGATTGTGGAAGAGGAATTTGATACTTGGAGATGGGGTGGAGGAGTGCATCCAGAAACTTTCAAACTTGGCCGACTCAGAAACAATGGATTTCAAAACTCAGGCATTTGGGTTGAAAATCTAGTGGGATAGGTTTTGAGATTCTAGGACCTGGTTAGCGTGTCCATTTTAGATGTCTCTAACTTAATTCTGCTTGTGTGATCCCTGTCTGCTCCAGAAGGAAGACGCCAACCCTCATCCTCAGATAACACTGAGTGTTTCTCTCTTTTTATGTATCTCGTATTCCTTTCTTGGAACTATCAACAGCCGGACACTCACCATGGGCTGATTTCCTCTTGTAAAACAGTGATGATCATCACAGTGGGAAAGGACAGCATACACTCCACCCTGCCTTTGGACTTTTGTCTCTCTTAAAGAGCTCAGGGCTTGACAGTTCAGTCTATAAAGTAGCTGTGCTTTTTTTTTTTTTTTTTTTGTCCATAGACTCATGAATTTTGAAACAATTTAGGACTTTTCTATACTTTTCCATAGACAGCATTGTTCTTATGCCCATATCTGTTTTTTAAACTTTTATTAAAGTGAGAGCATAGTTGGATTTTCCCATAAAGATAACTACCAGTTATCTCTAACTACCACAATCCCAGGGAGATGTTTTTCATTGTCTATTCATAATGCCTACAATGGACTCACTGTATTCTAGTCAGAATATATGAATATAAGAAGCATTTACCTATTGCCTTTTAAAATTTACTTCAACCTTTGAAGGGTCCTATAAGCTTGATTTTTGGTTCTACATGAAGATATTCAATTAAAAAAAGTCTCATTTTTTCACCTTTTGGGAGGCCACAGTTGTGGGTCAAAATTCTGTCATTATCTTAAAATGCCTCATATTTCTTCTTTTTCCAGTACCCTAGAGAAATTTGTTATTTGCTGTTATTTAGAGATAAAGGTGTTTGCTCTATGGGTTAAAACAGGACGCCTGACCCAATGTATTTTACTTTATTAGAACAGCAATGCAACAATTTAGCAGTATAAATTTTGAGAAAAATAGTATAGTGACCACAAATTACAGCTAACTTTAGTCACCTTGACTTCTATAATATTTAAGTGAGACAGACTAATTATTCCATCCTTAACTTTAAAAACTCCTCATGCTGTAACTCTGCTCTGGTGGGTAGAATCAGAATTGGTAGATGAACGGAAGAAATGAGGGCTTACTGTAACTATTTTAATTCTGTTATCAGGAAGAGGAAACACCGAACAATTTGAACTTGAAAATGTTAAAAGAGGGACATACTTCTTTGAAAAGTGTTGCACTCCCGTCTGCAGGGACCCATCAAATAAAGGCTATATGAACCTGTCAGAGTCCTTGGAGCAGATTCCTGTGTCGAACACAGTAGATAACTACCATGGTCTCCTCCTTTCTGAAATGTTTATAAAGAGGTGGAGGAAAAAGTCGACATAGGCTAGCTATTCAGTAGGGCTGGAAGCCGCTTACATCGTCTCCAGGAAAGAGGTTGAAATATTTCCAAATTTAGCAGATGAAAACTTGTTTTCTACTTATTCTTTGAGTTTCCCAAGATGCTTGAACATCTTTTACTGTTCTTCCTCGATGCAGCAGCAAAGCACAGGGGAGTGGGACGGTCCCTCTCCAGTGGGACTCAGCCCACAGTTCCGTTGTGCCGGCTTTGTGGAGTGTCTGTAGACTCACCTGGCATGAACAGGCATGCATAGCATTCCACTGATTTTTTTCTTGGTGACAGTCTTAACACTGAAAATGTATATTTTGGTATAGTTACTTTGTCAGTAGTTTTGCTTCAGAGGTTTCCTAGCATGTAGACCGAAGATTGGCCACTGCCTAACCTAGACTTTGACTCCTCTAGGAGTAGACATAATGTTTAGTCACAGTGCCCTACTGCATCTTGAAAGTTGGCCAAAAGACAGGATTCCAATGGTTAAACAGCTGGCTTCTATAATAACAGCACTTCCCTTTAAATAATGCATGGTCAGGGGAGTAATTCAATAATCTTCAGGGCAAACTTGCTAGTTACAAGGGTTTGGGGCAGAACTGTGGCATCATCAAAACCACACTGA